GTCGAGGAAGTCCAAAGGCGAGGTCGAACACACCGGACAGTCCAAGAAAGGAGGATCAGACTCGAAAAGCCGGGACAGGTGCAAAAGAAGCGAGGTAACAGACAGACCCGCGGACGACGAGACCAGGGCCCTAGACATCCACTTAAGCCGAATTTCTACGAGCCTCATTCACATTAAAACATGTCGGGACATGACTTCAATGCAGTCTTTAGAGTGAGTGACTGGACGGACGAGGATCGTCACACACTCAAAAGCCCACTGGCAGGTGCAGAGGTGAAATTTTAGAAGTCTTGGCCTCCGGCCTGGACGTTACAACCCCAGCTCAAAGCCCAGGCAGACATCCGGGCCATAAACCTTACAGAAACGGCTGAACCCATGAGCTATCGCAGATAACCACTGCTTTCAGGCTCAATCTCACCCGTTCTCATCAGCCAAGCTGGGAACTAGGGGGGAGGCCACATCCTTGTGGCAAGCTTGTTTGATCTTGTGGGGATCATCGATAAGACGCTGCTTTACTGTACTTCTTTCCTTGGGCGATGCAGTCATGAAAGTATGGCTATCGGGTAGACGAAAAAGCATGTCAAATCAGCAGGGTGCGAAAACATCGGAGAACTGGGCTTTTACCGATCGACCCCAAGTTTGGGGCTCGTTTGCTGCCCAGCCTGAGGCACAGTGCTTCAAGCAAAAGGAACAGGGAAGCAATTGAAACCCTAATGGCTGCGGAATATCTGTGCGTGACAGCGGCACATCAACAGCGAAAAAACTTCCACCCGAAGAAACTTGGGCAAACGCGGCATACGTCCTTTTGAAGCAGTTTGGTCGGTCTTTCTGACCGCTATCTGAGATCTTCATCCCGGACGGTCCAATCCTGCAGAAGCCTCTGTGCCAATCAGGGCAACTCGGCCAGACCTGTTCCGCGCCAACTCCGGACGAAACCTAGGCAGGGAGATTCAGCAGGGCTGGCCTGCTGCGAACGGCCAGGGGCCAAATGACTCCGTTCGACTGGCACGCAACCATCGCCCGGGGAGCTCGAGGCGAGAACCCGTTGTGCTTAGCTTGTTAACGCTGCTGAGTCTTCAGATTCCGTCTTTCCCTGCAGAAGTGATGGCTGACAGGTCCGGTCCTCGAGTTCCCCATGGCATTTCTATGGGCTGACTTTGTCAGGACATGGCTGCGCGCTCGCAGCTGCTGGCGGACGACCACAAACATTCGAAGGCGGAGACGCACACAACAGCTGCTCGAATTAGGGCATCGCGACGAGGTACCAAAATCGAAACCCTCTCATGCATAGCATGAAAAGCTAGCCTTTTTGCACTTGCTGAGTATCTCTGAAGAGCGGTGAAGCATAAACTCAAGCCATGGCCTGAAGCATGAGAAGGGCGACCTTTCCGTCCGTCGGCATGCACATAACATGATTGCCGCGACCCCATGGCATGTCTTTAAACATGCTTCGCTGGAGCCATAGCACTGTGCGTATTGGCGATCGTGGAACGATACCAGTTGTGTTTGTACACCACATTTACAAAAGCATGTCGATCTCGTTGCTCCGCGGCCTTGCCCTGCAGCTGCACTTTGTCCTGGACGCACACGAGCTGAGATCTGCATCATACGCAGAAAGTTATGGAAGACGCATGCCAAGATGGACGAGGCCAGAGCATTGTCTCAGAACCATCCAGCTGCCAAGTCACTCCGCCTGTGTCAAGCCGGAGTGTCAAGCCCGGACTGTCTCCATCTAGTCGTAGTGACAGACTCATGCCCACACCAATCCCGCACCTTTCTGCAAGCTCTGCATCCAGACGTTCCATGGCCTGCATGCGCAGGGATAAATGTAGCGAGGCACAGTGAAATCTGCAAGGGCCTTTGCTCTTCCGGCACGATTCAAGCTGTTGGGTTTGCCATGAATTCAAAGAGTTTTGACTCAGGCATCTGTTGGCAATCACTTGTTCCTGCGTTTAAGGAATGGGGCTTCCGGACTTTGAAGAAGCTGACTTTAGTGCACTTTAGGGCTTTCTGGGTTCTATTGGGTGGAGAGAAACTTCCTGAAGGGAATTACGCTCTCACAACTCGGACAAGCCAGGCGAGGATCCACATGTTCGGGTCTTCAGGAAGTTAGTGGGTCTTGAGGCTGCAGCGGCTTCAGATTTTTCGGGCTGTGGGGTGACGAGATTTACCACAGAGCTGCTGCTGCTGTGCACAACGCCTGTGTGGCAGGTATTCTGAAAGTGGGAACACACACTGTGGAGTACATCTGCGGGTGTCGAGGCACGATACCAATAATGTGTCACTGTCACTTGCCCCTGCCCAGGAAATATTTCTCTAGCTCCAGCCTCGATTGATTCGCGTGTCACTTTGCTTACCCTTCGCTTCACAAGAAGCTACGAAGAGAGCTGCGCCTTCACTTGCCTAAAACGCTTCAAAACCCGCCGATACAGACGTTGAACTTGCATCTTAGAGCTTGCATCATCTTGGTCGTGTCCACCTCATAAATCGACAAGCAACATGGCCAGTGTCCATGGCTGCCAGTCACATAAACATTAAGGTTCCTTCCTGTCAGAGCCACAAGCCGAGGCCTGCCCAGCTGGATCAAGCTGTCCAGCTGGCTGCCACGGACGCCTCTTCTTCGATTTGCAAGCACAGAACGGCCGAAAACCTCTTCTACTTATACTTGCGCTGCCAGGAATCCCCCGTAAGGATACATCCAGCTCTCGGAGTTGGCGCCAAAAGCCGACATTGGGTCGGATGTAGTCTCTTGCCTGTTCGGCGTTGACTCTTTTGGCAGGACCTACCAGCCGCAAAATTTCAGCCTACATCTTTTCCTGCTGGTTCTCTCCAAGTCGCCTGGAAAACACGGCGGAACGCCCCTTCCAATGGAAGATTCTCTTTCATCATGAGGTACGCAATACAAGTGCCTTGGGAAGGCATGGATGACTATGGATGACAGAAAGGCGTGGTTTCACATGGGTGCGGTGTTGAAGGTCACATGACAGCGCCAACGCGGGTGGCCGAAGTGCGACATCTCATGTGGTGCACGTGCAATCACGCGCAGCAAACGACAAATAAAGGCATAGTGCAATCCGGCAACTGCTCGAGCGGCTCACTCCCTGGGCACAGTGGACAACAACGCCGTCGCCTCAGCAGAAGTCTAAGTCTCTAAGATCTCAAGGTTCTAGGTTGTATTGAGGAAGTTCCAGGAAGTCAGGCCTGGCCTCGTCTCAAGGCCTGGTCGATGATGCTGGCCGCCTTCTGCCATGCTGCACCTGAGGGGAAATGAGCAGAAAGTCGACTGCCCTTGACCTGGCAAGACGAATCACGAATCCAAGTTGCGCATGTCCTGCTGCTCAACATCCTCTGCATCGAGAACCTGACACAGAAACTCCCGCAGGAACGTGCCAGCACGATATCGCAAAGAACATGCGCCTCCAAGGCATGCATTAGTGACATGCGAATCCAACGCTAGCTGCTGCAATCCCTACCTGGAAAGCCAATGTTTGAGCAAGCGACAGCGTACAAGGGTGGCATCTCAAAAAGATGAATGGATGTTGACACCAGGCTGTCTAACGAGTCTAAAGGCTTCAGGACGTAGGGCGAGTCAAGCTCCGAGGCTTCGGTACACTCTACGATTTCCCTTACCTGAAGAGCAACTTTTTCTAATCTTCTCAGCTGCGACTGTCAACGTGCATCAAGAGAAAACACACGAACCGAAAAAACGGCAAACGGAAACTCGCAGAGATTTCTTGAGCCATCACCGCGGATGGTTGCACAGATTTCTACAGAACCGTCACACACGAGAATGCCCCAAGATTGGCAATAAGTGGCTAGGACTGTCAGTTGCGCATCCTCATGCTCGCTGCATGCCCCGAGAATCTGATAGAATCTAGCAAGTTCTTTTTGAAAGCTTCCAACAGTTTGTGCAGCATGCGAATGCCGATGACGGACGTGCAAGTCGTTCCCATCTTCTGGGAATCTCCGCCAAAGCCCGGCGATGACATGAGCATTGGCTTCAATGTTGCGACCAAGAGGACTAGATGAGATACACGTGCAGAGGGTCAAAAACCCCCAAGCCACCCTTTTTTTTAAGCAAAGACGCATGAAGACTGGAAAAAGCCAAGAAGTCCATGCCTCCACTTGGAAGCCCTGGAGGCGCTTGCTGAGGGGTGTGCCAACTGCACCTCTTGGAAGACTACTTCACACGAGAGCCCGGGCATCTCAGGCCGGCAGTACGGCAGCTCTCAAACTCTCAGCTAGCGACAGTTGTAGGACCGTGTATAGATGTCCTGCTCACGATGTATTTCACCCGCTCAGATCTGATGTGCTGGTTGTATACTTCGTCTCGCATCTACGACACGCTGACCGAGCTGGTAGCCTGCGATCTGAGAACCGCGTAGCGATTTCTCAAAGAGGCCTTGACCCTCTGCATGAGGCATGAGCGACACAGTGCTCGCTAAATCTGGTCTGGTGGCGGACACGGAGCAAGTGTTGCAAGTTATCGTAAGCCAGTGCTCAACCTGGTCCTCAACAGCATACTCAGGTCTGGGAGACACGGTTGCACATGGCCACCTCTCCTCACCACCACAGTTCAGGATGCAGCCTACGCCCAACCTGGCTCAAGCAGAGGCTCTCACGGCTTCGACAAAAGCTGGAATCGTGGGCTTGAAGCGTTCCGAATACTCCAAAGTCGCCAAAGTTCAAGTCCATCCGAAGTTCGTGCGCCGGCTTGTGACTGCAGATGTCGCGAGATGGAGAAGACAGCCGGAATCCAACACATTGCCGTGCACCTGCTGAGCTCTGCCTTGTTGTCCAAAGCCGCTGCCCCACAGATGTACAGACCCCCACCGATGTCGTCCTCACACACAGCTTTTATGTCCCTCCAGGCAGAGCAGACAGTCAGAAGGTTGCGCCATGACTCGTAAACTGAATTGCAGCCTGACTTTGGGTGTCAGCTGCAAAGCCTCTATCTAACCCACTACTGTTCCAGGCTACTAAGACCATGTCGCCCTCAAAAGCTTGAACGGCTTTCATCGCCCTTGCAGACGGCAAACTTGACAATCAATGCACACACTTAGTCGTTAGAAGCTGAAAGATTCCGAGGCTGCAGCTATGCGCTGCCACGAGATGTGCGAGAACTGCTTCTGCGAGGAGAGATCCTTCGCGAGCTGAAAGTCCAAACCCACCGACTACTGCTACATGTAGAAACCACCATTAATCATCTCAGCTCCGGTCCAAGCGTGTCGGCTTCACGTTGTCCTGACGGGTGTTCCACGGCTGCATGAAAACTGGCGAGCTGCATAGCGGAAATGAGTTCTGCCGGCCCGGAATGGTTTCACTCCTTCGTGCTCCCCTCGAGTTCTTGGTGCGCATGGGCGGCCACGAGCGCTGCCTCTCTGAGCCTCAACAGACTCTCGGGAGCGGATCTTGCAGACTTGGCAAGGACAAGTGCTCATACTAAACACCGACGTGCCGACAAGGTGCCAAGCAAGTGTCATTCAGAAGTCGTCTTGAAACGGGCACGCGGAGCTGAGCAAAATTGATGCAACAGAAAAGCCAGGCATGCAAGTTCAAGCCCGATGCCCTGTGTGATCTGGAGGACCTGGACCTACCTGACATAACTTCTAAGCTGCAGCTTACACTGCGCGGGATGCAATGCATACCGCCTGGTCCTGAAAAATTCTCAAGGTAGAGAAGAGCACGTGTGCTTTTATGTCGACCCTGTGGTTTGCTGACAAGGCCAGGATGGTCACGAGGTTTAGGCTTGGGTTTCGCGCCGCTGTCGTGAGATTAATACGATTAGTGATCTACCCTGCAAAAGGAGGATTTTATGCTGAGCACGATGGAGTCGGTAACCTGGCTGGCTTCGAGCAGCCTCTAAGGCCGATGTCTCCAGGCCGCCAAACTCACAGGTCTCAACCCGCAGGCTCGGACTTTGGCTGTTTCGGGCACGCTGCACACTTTGGCGCAGTCCTCGACATGAACATGGCAGCCATGCGCCGAAGTGCGTGATCGGGTTGGAGAATGCATAGGTAGCTCTACTGAGAGGCCGGCACGGAGCCTCGTTTAGAAAGGGGTTCGTGTATTTGGAAAAAGGAGGAAGATAAATTGATAACAAGGCATGCGAACCAGGATTCTAAGGAACTTATCGTGGTCCCAATGATAAACAGAAATCTCATGCTGACTCGTACGTCATGCTTTGTCACATGAAACTGTGGCCAGTGCCTTGCTGGCAGACACTCCGCATGTGACGACTTGCAAGCGTAGCGGGTGGATTACGCTCGCAGATTGACGAATAGAATCAGACACTGGGCGGAAAGAAAGCATCCAAGTTAAGCTAGGCACAACATGCCAAGCTGCGAGCACATGCATGCACTTAACTCAACTTTCTGAAAGTTCAGGCTCCGTACAGGTGGCGGAGGCATCACAAAACTATTCATTCTTCGCCAGCCTTAGACTGCGACAGCCATGTACTGCGAGCTCGGTGATTGGCAATTCTGACTCTGACAGGCACTGAACGTCGTGTTGCCTCCGACAGCTAGTGACTGCTGCTAGTGCAAGTCTTCTCAGTTGGGGCACGGACTGACGAAGCTCGACGAAATCATTTCGGAACTTCCTTCGCGATCACATGCTGACGGCTGCTGACTGGCGTCTATCTGTCTGCAAAGTTGCTGATAGCAGATAGCAGCTTCGGCTAAGGCTTCCGCCCACCACCACCCCTATCTCTGCCCCCCACCCCACCCCGGCCACCCCACCATCCCGCAACACCCACCACACCCACACCACACGCACAGACACACACACACACACACTCGTGCAATCCTCCCTCTGGACTGACGTAGCATACATGATAGCAGTCTTTCCAACACAGAGGAGCAGGATCTGAAGAGGATTTTGGCTTAGCCTCTCGCCATCTTCACTTGCAATCAGCAGAAAGAAAAAACT